GATAAAACCAACACAAACACAAGGAGAACATACAAACTCCACAAAGAAAGACCCGTGGTCCAAAGCGAGGATCGAACTCAGTAAACATACCACCAAAGCGAAAAGAAGGCTTTATAGAAGCACATTCGCCAGTCCTTAGACCTTAATCCTGTAGAAAATCTGTGTAAAGAGCTAAACCTTAGCATTGCCAAGCTGCAGTAAAGAAACCTAAAGGATTTAAAATGTTTCTGTTAGGAGAATCTGACAAATCCCTCCTTAGATGTGCACAAGCCTCAAACACTCATTTCACTCAGTGACTCAGGGATCATTTATATTTTAATGTAATGTTTTTGTATACATATTTTAGTTAGTATTTTTTCTATTGATGCTAAAAGGATTCAAGGATTCAAGAGTTTATTGTCATTGTCAAAAGGCATCGAAATTGTGTTGAAAAACCTATGAAACTAGTTGCATTGCTTCAAAACTGATGAGTGAATCATTTTGAGCCAGACTATTTTTTACTGCAACATGTCTTCACTTGCAATCGACAGAAACATTTCCTATAATTGGCAGAGCAACCAACCTCCAGGTTGTTTTTAATTTAATTTAAATTTTTTTCATGCTTCAACTACACTGTTTCAGTTTACTTCCGACGCAATACTTTTTTGTGTTAGCAGAGAACATTGATACGTAGACTCAAATCCTGAATTTAATTGTGAAAAATATGAAACAAAGAGCAATCACAAGTGAAGTCTTTTGTGTTGGTGGAGTAGGAGGGACATAAAGCACTGCATTCAACTCCCACACTAAAAAAAAAAAAAACACCTGTCTTCACTTCGCAACAATGAGAGAGGCGGGAACACCAGGCTTAGTTTTCTTTATATGGCAAAGGTTCACGTTCAAAGCTGAGAACCTGTTTGTTGAGCAAATATGTTGGTTCTACAGGTCCTTAGGCAGACAACAGCWGACGTTAGATGTTTATTTTTCTCCTCTTTTGAATACCATTTGCTTTACATTTGCTACAGACAAAACAGGTCTGTAGCCTGTTTTGGAGGTTTTCTTGACACTGTGCGTGTTTATATTTGTGGATCAGGTCTGAATACTTCAGAATGAAAACCACGTACTGGTAAGTTAACAAAATTGCTTCATCTCACACTTTTGTGATCTGTGCATAATAAATCTTTAAAACATTTTTGACAAGCTTCCTAGATCAGTAATTTTAAAATAATTGCTTAAAACCAGTTTATTTTATTGGCTTTGTGTTCTGATTTATTTKTATGTCTACTGAAAACCCCCCAAAATACTTTATTTTTTATGCTCTTTGGGATTGCTTTAATGATTGTTTTAAATGTTACTGACTCATATTTTAATAAGCTTTGTACTTTATAGGTTTATTTATATTTTATCTTTGATTTCTTTTTCCAAGCACCACACTGACAAAGATCTCTATAAGCTGTCTCTTTCTGTCTATATTTCTTGCCATTTCCACCTGTAACAAAATTAACCTTAACAAAACTTTGTGTGTTTTTTTGTGTGTGCTACATCCTTGATGGTGATGTTACTGTGATTTAAAAGTTCTTCAAGGAAGCAAATGAAAAATATTTAAGCCATATTGGCAATCACATTCTGCACTTTTGTTGGTTTTTAACAGAAAGTTTTAGTGGTTTAAACCATATTTTCCCCATCTATTGTTACACCAAGAACTGCCATTAGTGTCTCCACAAAAGTTGGATCAGACACCAAAAATAATAATGTTCTCCACAGGTATTTGTTTTTAAAAAMCTCTCAGTTTTTGCAATTTAAACTTGAAATGTTTGTTTGTCCCCTACATGCAGCTTCAGTCAGAAGTCCAAGAATATTAAGAAGGGTTTGCTTTGCATTCTGATTGTGTTCATCCTGGTTTACTTCACAGCTGGRAGGTGAGTACAAAACGAGGTCTCTTTGTAAATTGGGGTAAAACGACCCGAGGCCTAAAAATGAAATCAAGTGGCAGTTTCAATGTTTAAACTTTGTTTATGATAATACAACCCCTGGCAAAAGGTATGGAATCACCAGTCTTTGATGAGCACTCATTCAGACATGTCATTCTGTAAAACAAACTCGGATCAAAAACATGATACAATAATAAGGTAATTCTAAAGTGCAACTTGATGGCTTTCAGGAACACTCAAAGAAATGAAGAAAAAAACATTGTGGAAGTCAGTGAATGTTATTTTTATTGACCAAGCACAGGGAAAAAATATGGAATCACTCAATTCTGAGGRAAAAAGTATGGAATCACTCAAATTGGAGGTAGAAAATAAGGACACACCCAGTCAAAATGGACACCTGCCTCAGATTAGATCTGCTCGTTAGTCTGCAGTTAAAAACACCTGCATTCATGACACCTTGGACGGCTGTTGGACGAAGTGGTGTGGCAAGAACCATGGCTCCCACAAGAGAAATGTCTCTTGAAACAAAAGAGAGGATTGTGAAACTTCTTGAAGAAGGTAACTCTTCACGCATGGTTGCTAAAGATGTGGGCTGTTCACAGTCAGCTGTATCCAAGATATGGACCAAATACAAACAGCATGGAATGGTTGTTAAAGCCAAGCGTACTGGTAAACCAAGAAAGACATCAAAGCGTCAAGACAAACAACTTAAGGCCATTTTTCTTGAAAACCAAAAAAAGTACAACTAAACAGATGAAGCATAAATGGGAGGAAGCTGGAGCCAATGTATGTGACCGAACCATAAGAAATGGCCTAAAGGAAATGGGATTTCAACACAGGAAATCTAAAAGAAAACCATCTGTAGCTGCGTTTCCATTGACCATGAAAATGCGCAAATTAGAATTTAGAAAATAAATTTGCTCAATCGAAACACATCAATTTTGAAAAAATTACATTTTTCAACAAAACGTTTTTGTGCTAGGATGAGGTGATATTTTGGCTGTATCGAAATGGGTGTTTTTCGCAAAGCTGTAATGGAAACACGTGTTTCGCATCATGGGAGTCATGTGATCAACAACCGGCTGTTTCTACTGGCAAAAAAGACGATGACAAAGAAGATAACAGGAAGTAGAAATAGTAGTAATATCACAGAAGTTGTGTAAAATAGTAAACTCACCGAATACAATTTCCCAAAAACACAGCATAAGTAGCCGCTCCCAAGTAGGGAATTGTCGCTGGAAAGCCTCGATAAAAGATGCCTACATCTCATTTGATAATGAGCGCTAGTGTCACGGTAGCAACATACTATGTGTTTACATCCATTGCCGCCATGTTTGTAATGACTTATCGTGAGAAMAAACGTATTCACGCGTGACTTTAATAGCATTTCTTATTTAATGGAAACACTGCAGTTGCGAAACTGTTTTTCGACATTAACAGAATATCGACAAAGTTTTGCGCACATTTGCAATGGAAACACAGCTATTGACACCTAAACAAAACAGAACAAGACTGCAATGGGCTAAGGAGAGGCAATCATGGACTGTGGATGACTGGATGAAAGTTATCTTCAGTGATGAGTCAAGAATCTGCATTGGACAAGGTGATGATGCTGGAACTTTTGTTTGGTGCCGTTCCATGAAGAGGACTTCCTGAAGAAAACAACCACATTTCTACAGTCCTTGATGATATAGGGCTGCACGTCAGGCGAAGGCACTGGGGAGATGACTGTGGTTCATTCTTCTATCAATGCACAAGTTTACATTGACATTTTGGACAGTTTTCTCATCCCTTCAATTGAACAGATGTTTGGAGGTGATGAAATAATTTTCCAAGATGACAATGCATCGTGCCATAGGACAAAAACAGTGAAGGCATTCCTTGGAGAAAGACACGTTCAGTCGATGTCATGGCCTGCAAATAGTCCAGATCTCAACCCAATTGAAAACCTGTGGTGGAAATTGAAAAAAATGGTCCACAAGAAGGCTTCRACCTGCAAAGCTGATCTGGCAACTGCTATCAAAGAGAGTTGGCACCAAACTGATGAAGCATACTGTTTGTCATTCATCAAGTCCATGCCTCAGGGACTGCAAGCCGTTATAAAAGCCAAAGGTGGTGCAWCTAAATACTAGTGATGTATTTTGAATGGACTTTTGTTTGTCTGTTTTTCATGATTCCATACWTTTCTTTTCCTCAGAATTGAGTGATTCCATATTTTTTCCCTGTGCTTGGTCAATAAAAGTAACATTCTCTGACTTCCACAACGTTTTCTCTTCATTTCATTGAGTATTCCTGAACGCCAACAAGTTGCGCTTTGGAATGACCTTATTATTGTATCATGTTTTTGATCTGAGTTTGTTTTACAGAATGAAATGTCTGAATGAGTGCTCATCCAAGACTGGTGATTCCATACTTTTTGCCAGGGGTAAGTATGCCAGAAGTTTTCATACACTGTATGAAGAGACAATGTGTCCAACACGAAATCCGAAGAAACCTTCACCGTTTTAGGTCAATGAGGTTTATCCATTTTTTTCTACTAAATGCCAGAATAATGAGATTTTTAAGGCAATTTTTATTACTTTTTTCAAAGTCAAAAGTTTAAATACACTAAGATTATCATGCCTTTAAATAATTTATGGAATTTGATGTCATTACCTGTGTGGATKAAAACATAGTTATAAAATGTTCATGTTTAACATGCATGAATATTATCTTTACCACACTGCTTTAAGTTTTTATTTTTTTTTTTATAAAAGGTTTTCCACCAAACTATTGCCAATGGACAAGTGTTCTTTGGAAAGTGCCAATATGTTGATCCTGGATAACATTGCTGATGTCACCCTTAATCTCCAGTAAGACACTCAAAACTCTCTGTGTTGCGTAATCTATTTACTAGTTGTCATGCCTTCTGTAATCTGTACTCAACACAATATTCAACCTTGTTTAATCTGTCTGTCTGTCTAGACATTTTTATTGACCAAAGTTAAAAAAATATGCTTAGTTTCATTATTTACTTTTTTTAAAATGTCATGTTACGCTGTTGACGATATTATAGTCTGTTAGTGAGTTGGGAGGGTGTGTAGGTGGGACCACACAGTTGCAGACTCTGACTCTAGTTTTGAACAATCAGGGTTAGTAGCAAAAAAATTTTTGTATGTCAATCTGGACAGAGGAACTCAAAGAAGTGAGATGAGAGTTTTAAAAATCTCAACACCAAACTATGAAAATAAATGTCAATATAATTGGTCTGTTTCCATTTAAATCACGTCAAACATTTATCTCTTCAACATTAATCAGTTAAATTAGAAACATGCACATTGTTTTGCTAAAAAACTCCCATTTAATTTTTAGACTGGCTTCTAATGTTTCAGATCTCGGCAAGATGTGCTGACGTGCACAACCTGGAGAGCTCCCATCATTTGGGAGGGGATGTTTGCTCCTCGTCATTACGACCAGATGCACAGAATGAAAGGATCCACTGTAGCTTTGACTGTGTTCGCAGTGGGAAAGTATTTGGAAGTCTACCTCGAGCCCTTTCTGAAGTCATCAGAGCATCACTTCATGTTGGGTCTTCCTGTGTCCTACTATGTATTCACAGACACTCCTGAGAAAGTACCAAACGTCGAGCTCGGCCCACAACGAACCCTGAAAGTAATCAAAGTGGAGAAACACAGCAGGTGGCAGGACATCTCTATGATGCGAATGAAGATGATCTCAGAGACCATAGAGTCAGATATCCGCCACCATTCCTCGTATGTTTTCTGTTTTGATGTTGATCAGATGTTTAGTGGGAGATTTGGCCCAGAGGCTCTAGGAGATTCTGTTGCTCAGATGCATGCAGGCTACTATCGCTCTCCAAAAGACGAGCATACCTACGATCGCAACCCCAAGTCCAAGGCGTACATGGAAACTGGAGATTTTTACTATCATGCTGCTGTCTTTGGAGGCACCTGGAAGAGTGTAAAAGCCTTGACGGACRCCTGCTACCAAAACATCATGGAGGACAAACAAAATAATGTGGAGGCTCTGTGGCACGATGAGAGTCATCTAAACAAATATTTTTKGCTTCACAAACCAAGCAGGATTCTTTCTCCAGAGTACTGCTGGGACATAAAACTCGGATACAGAAGTGAGATACAGGTTTACAGACTGATTTGGGCCAAGAAATACTACAGTAAACTACGAACATCCTAGAAGCTCACAATTAGAGGAAATTCCAAATTATTTAATTTTTCTAAATGACTTCTTAATGAACAGAAAGTTTACATTAATCTGTGTCACTTGATTTACAGATCTTCTCTCTAAATTKTTATGAAGAAATATACCAGGTGGCTAAGTGTTAAAGATTTTGTGTAAATTATATTTAGAATTGAAATAATTTCACTCAATTTTACTGGAATTTCCAAATGATACAGCTATGCAAACAGTATTACTTAAAGAAGGAACATTTCATAAGAATAAATCCTGTTTTTTGTTTGTTTTCTTTGAGTTGATGGTATGGGCTGTTTTAATGGAGTTCCATGGCATAGTCAGTATCTTACTTGCAATAGACTGTAATCTGAGTAATCTTTTTTCTGGAAAATGTGAAATAATTTCCCATGCCAACCAAGCTAACAGCTGGCACTTTTGCTTCCAAATAAAGATAATTCTGACTGCCATCTACTGGCTGCTAATAACTGCTCCATGGTGCACCCACTTAAAGCAGTAGTTGTGCCTTTTAAAATCTGCAGAGATGCACTGAAGTGTTGAGTCACATGCATTGGATGAAACACAGCTGCCAGACTAAATGTAAACAGTCACGCCACCCTTTGTTATCATGTTTTTATGWGCCGTGAGTTTTCATTTGTCTGTATTTTTTCGTCTGTGTGTCATCAATCATATCTCCTGAGTCAGCATCTGTTTACCAACTCTCACCTGTTCCCAGATGTCATTTTGCCCAGGTGTGTCCACTCTGTTCATCAGCCCCCTTCCAGCTATCCTGAAGCACATTCTGACATTTGGTCTTCTTTGGCACCATTTTGTGGTCAGTAAGAAGCTCAAAACTACAACCACTTCCTTTCCTATTTGACCAGTTGAGTTGAGAGCTGTTTTAGTTTCATGTCACATTTCTGTCTGATATCTGCTGGTGTTGATTTGAACGATGTATTTATTGTTCAAGTCGATATTAAAGTTCTAGTTTTCTTGTCAAAGTATGTTCATGTTTAATCATCCACCTAAGGAGTGATGCAAAATCATGCCTATAATTTATATTTTCACGAATTGTTTTTTAATATATAAATAATTTCAATTTGTTTTATTTTTGCACGTAATTAAAAAATGTGTAATTTTTTCTTGAAGAGTGAACAGAGTATGAATGGTTGTGTTTTTGTACTTCCCAGTTCTGGTCGCTCTGGTTGGCATATTTTCACATTAAAGATGCTGACGGGGCTTTTATTTTGTTATGATCTATCTTTGAGGAACCCAGAATGTTGTAGCTGAGGGTTTGAAAGGAAAATGAGTAAAGTTCCTTAACAACGTAACATGCAAACAAAAGTCAGTTAATGTCAACTGAAAACTTTTAACTAAAGGAAAACTTTTGAGCTCTGAGGATGGAAGAGGAGGAACAGAGAATTCAACTGGATTTTTTTATTTATTTATTTWCAAACGGAGTTTTAAAGCATCTGTTGGGTTTGTATTTAGGATGAAACACGTTGTGCTGTTTCCTGGGTGGTCTGCCATTTCCTGCTCATTTACAATCAAACATAAGCAGCAATTTGCTCTTTCCTGTCTTTCAGTTCACTCATTTAGGGAAAAGAGTCTCGCTCAGCTGAAGAACCTGAACATTTGCCAAAATGGAACAAAAATGTGCTTTTGTCCCTGACTTTGAGCAAATCATCTCTTTGCAATCATATTGTTCCTGGTTTTTAATAGATGAACGAATACTGTACACAGCACTATTATTTCACTGTGATGATGGTGCTGAATGTCTGCAGCTTTGAAGAATACGCCGAGTGTTTCGGCAGTGCAGAGTGAAGACTATTTCTGGTGCTGAGCTGCCAAAGATCAGAGTTTTTATGGGGGAGGGCAGGGGAAATTTTGAGGAAATGGGGTTTGAGAACTCCTCCTATATCCAGCTCCACATTCCTGCTTCACACACTTTCCTTCCAGTTTTGGAGCTACGGTGTTTACTAAGAAAGACAGAGGGGAATAAACGGAGAAGAGCAACGACTGTAAACATCAGAAGATTGCAAAAAAGGGTTGAAAATCTTTGGCACTGAAGCTGGAAGGGTGAGGATTTTCTCCACAACGGTCCTGCTGTATTAAGTTCCTCATTTTTCTGATGCATCTGAAACTGGTGACTAAAAATCCTGTAAATGTGGTCAAATGCTTGTTAGAACCTTTTACAGTAATGTTATTTTTCTGATACTCATGTCTGTGCCAGGATATGAACTGAACTATTGCGAATACCAGGCAACAAGTTTAATCAAACACACATGTCGCCCTTATTCTAATAAAATAACGTGCATCCTGAACAGAGGACACACACCTTCCTTTTTTTTCCTGGGATTTTGATTAAGTGCAGAGATTAGTACAGAAACAGAGACRCGTGGTGAAAATACTCACTTTCCTCGAGACTCAAAGGGTTTTGGGTTATTGAGACCACCTGGCTGTTTCAGGCGATGCAAAAGAAGAATAAAATGTTCAGCCACTTTAAACTGAGGTTTTCTATTATATATATTTAAATCTTTATAAAAAAACTTTCACAAATGAAAAATGAAATGTAGAATTATCTTTATAAGGTTGCTTGAGCAGGATTCAACTCTTGCTCTCTAAACAGTCATGGCCTTGCTGCTCATCTTCATCACTCTGCTGCACTTGGTCACCTTGGCCATGCTCTTCGTCGCCACTCTGGAGAAGGTAAAACTCGACTTCAGAACTCATGTTTTCCCTTGTCGTAACTCTAGATGTCGCTGTTATGCTCTGTACTTGTTCCTCCCTGCAGTCCTGGTGGGTTTGGACCGATTCAGAGATCACTGACCTCTGGAATAACTGCTTCTACAATAACGCCACAAACATCTGGGTGTGTGCTTCTACAACTGAAAGCGGTAAATTCAAGAAARTACTCATGGTTTCCTTATTACATGTGGTTTTAATTCTTTATTAGTAAATAATGAAATTATTCTGCAGACTGGCTGCAGTCAGTCCAGGCCCTTATGATCCTCTCTGTGGTCTTCTCCTGCATCTCCTTCCTGGTTTTTCTGAGTCAGCTGTTCCTCTTGTCCAAAGGGAGCCTCTTCTACTTCACAGGCCTCTGCCAGGCCTTTGCAGGTTATTTGAGAGCCTTTTTTTAATTTCTAGCCTTGTGTCACAGTGTCATAGTGTGTACATTGATGAAGAAACACATTCCTGTTCATTTAAAAAAAATATGCCAAGCTGGTCTGTATTCAGTTTTCTAAACTAACATTCATTTGTGTCTCTGCAGGTTTTACAGCCTTTTCTGCCWGCCTCATCTTCACCTTCCACAGAAATGAGATTTTAGGCGACTCCAGAGATCTGAGCAGAGGACGATTTGGTTACTGTTTCATCCTGGCTTGGCTAAGTGTTCCCCTCCTTCTTGTCAGCGGAGCCCTGTATGCCCATTTGCGCAAAAAGCAGTAAAATAAAAAAAAATAACCTTTTTTTTCAAGTGCGACRTTTTGCTTTAAGTTTATAACAGTAAGGCAAGAAGATAAAGAATTAAACACTTCTGGAAATGAACCACTTCTATTTTCTTTTTGCTCTSGTATGAGGAAAATTAAATTATCTTTCTAACCTCTGTGTGACATCAGACAATCTGAGTTCATGACGTGCTGTATGATGAATGACAACAAAACACGTTAAATTCTACAGATATGTTTATTTTTTATGACTATTTGAAGCAAATCAGAATACTTGTTTTTGTGTTTTAAGAAGAAAAGCACCCATTGTCGCCATTGTTCAGCCGTACTGAAGAGGATTTGTTCGGGGTGGTTTGGTTGCCTTGTGTGTCATGCTGAGAAGGAAAAGACACAATGCCGTGATGACAAGAGGATTGTGTGTTTTTTCTTCAGTAATTTGTGGGATCAGTTGTTTACTTACTCTTAAGCTTAAAGAGARGAGCAAACCAGTATTTAAATAAAAGCAATCTGCTCGAGCAACAACACTCCAAGTCAAATAAATAATTATTGCCCACTGCTGAAAGGCAAAAGATAATCCAACTGATTGTGTGTATATGTCTTTGTTTTGATGGATATATTTGGACATTATACTGAGGACATTTTGTTGTGTTTGCCAGGTCCACACAATGAAGAAAAAAACATTTATGGGTCAGGGATTAGGTTCAGGCTGTAGAAATTAATGGAAGTTAATGCAACAACAGCATAGTGGCTCAGTCAGTGGAGTTGATGACTCTCAGCAAAAAGGTGGCCGKTTTAAATCCCGGCCCGGGGAGGACCTTTCTGGGTAGGGTTTGCATGTTCACTCCATGCATGCGTGGGTTCTCTCCAGGTACTATGTCTTCCTCCCACAGACCAAAAACATGATGAGCTGAATCTTGGGGGTCCTCAAGAATTTTCAATAAATTGTTCATTTGATTTTTATTTTTAAAAAAATGCATACGGGGAACAATACACTAGTAAAACAAATATACAAAAGATAATATTCCCATGGCATTTAGTAAAAAAAATGACAATAAATTATTTCTAAAACAGCTTGGTTTTATATGAGGGGTCCCTGGAAATGTTTCCCTCTTGCAAAGGGTCCCCAGACTCAAAACGTTAGAGAACCCCAGCTCTTCTTTTCTTTTATTTATCTTTATTTTTCTCACCCTCTCCTGTATTGAGCTGCAGTAATGTGCAAATTTCCCAATGGTGGGATCAATAAAGTCTTATCTTATCTTATCTTATCTTATCTTATCTTATCTTATCTTATCTTATCTAAGTGTGAGTGAGACAGTGGATGGTTGTTAGTCTCTGTGTGTGGCCCTGTGATGGACTTGCTACCTGTCCAGGGTGTACCACGCCCCTCACACTGTGACTGCTGGATATGGGCACTAGTGATCCCCGCGACCCTGAAAGGAATAAGTGTGTGTATATAATGGATGGATAGATAATGACCGCACAATTAAAGAGAGATATATGTGTGTTCTACCATTTTTTTTACGTTGTAAGTACCATTTTTCCAAAAGACTACCTTGTGAAGACCAATTGCTCCTTATGGGCYCAAAACTTGAGCCCCATAAGTTAAAAAAATGTGGGTAGAGGGCTAAGTTTAGGGTAAGGGGTCAGGGTTAGTCTGTAGAAATCACCTGTAAATGAATGGAAGTCAATGCAAAGTCCCACTGTGTACAGAAGAACAAACGTGTGTGTGTGTGTTTAGAGGTATGGAGTGAATTAGGTTTTAGATAAGGTTAGGCTGAAGAATAGATTAGTAATGGTTAGGGTTAGGGAAAATGTTTGGGTTAGACATAAATACAGTAACACCAATGAATGACAGTCAATACAAAGTCCTCAGTTTGATGCAAGCAAAAGGATGTGTGTGTGTGGTATTAACGATAGTCCTCATGAGTCAGTGGACAAATTTGAATGAAACCAACAAGTCTTTGTTAGATTTGTATCTAGAACTAATTAACTTTTAAAGTCAGCCCCATTCAAGATGGCTGCCATTAGGAAGCACTGAAATGGCTCAAACTCAATCAGTTTTACAGAAATTGATCTCAAATTATGTGTGGTATATATAATAGATTGTGCAAGATCTTGCAATTTTACACACAGTCACTTACTTACAACTCCATCATTTTTCAAAATAAGATTATTTTAGGTCAAACCTCATTAACTTTAAAATGCATTCCCTGGAGGAATGCTAAATGTTTAGTTTCCAAAAGCCTTTTCCAGATGTCAAAAAAAGAAACTGTTGTGATCTGCCTTTCAAGTGTCATCAACCTACCTGTCAGGCTGGACCAGTCTGATTAAAAAGCTAGAAGATGCACAGCAACTTTACTCAAACCTCACACACACGCGCACACACGTATATACACACGTACAGGAGATGTTGGGGCTGGAACCAAGACGCATGAAACGAAGATTGGATCTGAATACAGCTGCGTGAAAGCCAAGATGAGAATAATTAGGGCGATGAAAAGGTTTTCTGTGCTGGGCCACGGTGTGTCAGCTGCTCTGAATGTCTGGAATCTCAAAACAATGACAGAAGGAAGGAGTGGAAGTGTTTGAGGGGTGTGATAAAACTCACACAGGGGAGGGACGCCTGATGAGCCACAGCTCCTGACAGCTTACAAGTGACTCTTTAACCTGAGACAAAGCTGTGCAGGAGGTGAGTACTGCTGTGAGCTGAAATTGTTTGTTTTGTTTTGTTTTGTTTGTTTACCTTCAGACCAAGCTATATATTTTATTTTTTAACTTTTAGAGTTTTTTCATAAGTTTTGTTGGAATAAAACTGCTGCAGACTTGACTGGCCTTTTATCAAAAGGAACAGAAGTGAAACAATCAAGACAGTTGACAACATCAAGATATGTGATGTACTCTGTACAGATTGTAAAATGTGCTTTTTATCAGTAAGGACTGAAGAGAAACCATCAAGAACTGCTGGCAAAATCAAGATACTGGATTTTTACTACACAGCTTTTGGCAGCCTGGAAGTAGCATGACTTTTACCACATTGGTAAAGGAAAGACTTGATCATTATTGATTTGTTGGCTTGAATTGGATGGAAATTAAAGAA